GTTAAAAAAATCAAAAGCAAGAGAAATTCTTGCTTCCCTTTACTATGAAGTGATTGCTGAGTGTTTCTGAGGTCTAGTAGTATTTGTGGAGAATTAAAAGTAACCAAGATAAGATGAATGTCCTTCAGAAAGGACATAAAAGAGAAGACATTCAGTGAAAAGATTGCAGAAGTAGATCCAGAAAAAAGAAAATGAGGACAGTTTCACCACTTATTTACTCTTAGTGCTGAAATATTCAGATATATTTATCTTGGGAAGGGGCTGGAATGGAATGATGTAAGACTGCAGCACCATTTTCAAATTTTACCTTCCTTTTCTTTACCTGAACAAGAAGGAAGCAAAAGCACCACTTCCTTTTGTTCACAAATGCTGTCTTTCAACACCAGCTATCCCCTCTTGGCACTACTTCAAATACAAAAGAAAAGAGTCAGCCTGTAGACAATGCTCCATATTTACATCAAGAATCAAAGGCCTCTGGTTCATGCCTTGGATTCTTGAGATATTCCAGGTATCCTTATTTGGAACAAGCCTTTTCAATTAGTGCTATGCATTGGGCCCGCAGTGCAGTCTTTTCCCAGTATCCATGAGATTATCTCATAGTGCGTTTAGCAATACTTAATTTCAGTTCACTGTGCATATGGTCTGTGGTTGCTATATTTGAAAAGGCACAAGATTATACATACAAGGGACAAATGCAAAGAGGTGAATAGAGAAGTTAGAAGCATAGGAAAAAAATGACTGAAGAAAACAAAGTAGAGAATGGTAAGAAAAAAAATAGTTGAAGGTTAGGGTAACTAAACCTGTGGAATGATTATGAATATTTCCTCCATAATCACATTATGTCCTTATAAGACTAGGACAGTATTGCCAACAGTTTACTCAGTATCCAAACCCTTCTAGATAGTATCATCTGATTGTTTACTATAAGATGCTAGTATTGGTACAAAATAATGCCATATGCATTATTTTCCTTCCTGAGAGGAGGAACAATTTAGAGGGGATCATAGTATTTCATACACACAGTTGCATGATTGATTCATTTAATCCTAAAATGGAACATTTATTATTATTGTATAAGTCCAATCCAAATGACTCAATGCTATTTATATTTCCTAAGAAGCTCCACTCAGTTAGGTACAATATATGCAAACTTGTATAAAGTTTAATGCAAGCCTGCTTTAATTCAAAGGAGATTTAGACTCCAATTCTATATTCATTAACATAGAAAATATTTCTCACAGAACTCAATGGAACTTCCTAACTATGGCTGGATCACAGTCGCATTGTATGCCCTCTCGCCCTCCCCGCATGCATTCAGACACAAACACAGATAATCAAAAGTATATTATACAGTAACAAAAAAACCATATTGAAAATAAATTTTAAGGAGATTATTATCTTCCCAACATTTCCTAAAAAGGAGGCCACATTATTGCCTCCTTTTTATAAGAAGATTAGTAACAAGAATTGTTTTAAGCAACAATAAGAATATCATTAACCGACAACATGCTTTATAGTCTAAATGCAGAGAAAACAAGCAATAGAAATTACCCCCTCTTATACAACCCCCAAAACATGTGTCTACCAAATGGCATGGTCATAAAACCTTAGTTAAAATGATTGAAGGGGGAAGGGGTTGAGCGGAAACGGGAAGAAAATGTAAACACCACAAATTGTTAAGACAAGAGTTCTCTCACCTTTACGGCCAAAAAGCAGCAGGGAACTGGCACAAGATCCCTTAAACCCAAAGTTTATCCTCTTTTAATTCTTAAATCACCTAGAGGCCCTGATTTTCAAGATTCTACCTTGTGTGATGGTGCTTGTTGCTGATGTTTTTAAAGGTGTTTTCTACAGTTCTCAACATTATTGGAAGAAAAACCTCCCAATAAATGGTAAGCATATTTCTGAGATGACTCAAATTCAGAAATAGTTTCTACCAATACAGTCTTTTTGAGTGGAAAGGTTTGATGTAAGTGGTACAGTGGCAAATTAGTGAAATTTGGTGCTTACAGAAAAGTAAGGCTTCCTATCTATACAGCATGTTCTAATGGCACCTATCAAGCATCAAGATCATAAGTCAAAAAAGTTGCATGCTCTTACTGCAAATGGAAGCTCTTATGAATAAGGAAGGAAGGAAGGAAGGAAGGAAGGAAGGAAGGAAGGAAAGAAGGAAGGAAGGAGAAAAAAAAAGAAAAGAAATTTTAATACCTCAATCAGATTTTCCCCGTCTTCCTCAGTACAAATGAATATGCTTATATTAATTTTCACTGACAAAAAAGATAACTACACCAATGAGCTCTTCTAAAGTTAAATCATTAATTCAGTGTCAGGACCTTCTACTTAGATCACCCTAGCCAAGGAAATATAAATCTTATTGTTAACATCTAGATTAGATTATCTTGAATTTAATCTAATTTTCCTTTTCTTGAGATGAAAGAAACAGGAGTCTTTAAAAATATTTTTTGGGAAACAGATCTCTGTATCATCTTTTTATATTTCAAAAATCTAGTCTTTATCAAGGCTCCAGAAGTGATAAAAATATGTCCTATGAATCATGTATCTGTCAATGAAGTTCAGCTCATAAGTGAACTGAATATAAAATAAGGAGGCATGCATGTGTAGTGTACTTGTATGCATCCCACAATATGTGTGAGAGTTGCATGCCCTCATAATCCAAGTAAACAAAGGGAAGAAGAAATACATATACTTATTTTCTACCAGAAAATTCTAAGCTCTATATTCTATGGCCACAAACTTTCACAAGATATTTTTCTTGTGGACTGTGGCCAGGAAAGCAGCGACAAGTGAGTATTTGCAGTTATGCTGTGGATAAAAAGAAGGAAGGAAGAAGAAATTCTAGAGAAAGGAGGGATGACATAATTGTTATAGCAAGAAAAAAAATGTCCTGAAACCAAGTGCTGAAGGGGGGAAGGGGGGGGAGAGTAAAAACCTGGAAGAAATGGGAAAGGGTGGATTAAAAGTAAAGTGCCAAATTATTTATCCAGAGCTTTTTAAGGTAAGGACAACCTTGGTTGGAATTGCTTATATCCACCTTAATAATTCTTAGATCCTTGATTAGAACTTGAATTATTACGTTTTCACCAGCCCTAGACTGTGAATCTGCAGATTACTACTAATAACAATAATAATACACGTTGTTTAAAACCATTCTCACCCTTGCACCTTTTGACTCCTAAAGGTAACTCACAAAAATCAATCCCACAGATTCTGATAGAAGCCTGCCCTAAGCATTATGCTTAAGCTTCTGATATCAATACAATCAAGAATTCAGTATAATCTCAAAGTGCTTTAGGAGGCTAATAAGTTACAGTGGATACATATAAAATTTATATATACACGTATAAACCCATACCTCACAAAATTATTGGTATATTCCTCATTATTAACAATTATCTCTGCTTTTTCTTGGTTCCTGCAAATCATGCTTTTAAAAACAAATTTATTGTGGGCCACAGGCAGGTAATTCAGGGGCCTTGATGACAGTGTTCTCACTGAGATTTTATGCAGGAGAAAGTTTCCAAGGAAGAAACCCCTCCCTCTAGGCCACGCTCCCTCCACCCTCATCTATAACAACCTGGTTCTTTAAAACTCATTTAAGCAGATAGTATTTCAAGAGAACTTACTTTAAGGTTAGCAGTTCCTAAGTCCTCTTTGGAGTAAACAGTGCACCATCAACGCTTCCTATTTCTGCAATGGAGCTGCCTTTATCTGCCTGGAAAAATGTTCTCCCTTTCCTGCCCCCTTCCAAGCCAAAGCAGGCAGTTAAAATGTCACTTAACATTCTGGAGAATGTGAAATATATTGTACATTGTCAACTCCCCAAAACCATAAAACTAACTTTATGGACCTCACGTGACTTTTGAGAGCCAGTGAGGGGTATCTGGCTGAGGTCTGGGCGATTTTTACGATCTAACTTCTAGATAAAACCCTATCCATTTGACATCTTAATGTCACAGCCACTTTCGGTATACTTACTTACTTTACTACGGGTAAAATATATACATGCGTGCATGTATGTGTGTGCACGCACAGGGCAGGTGTGGTGTGTCAATGTATATTCAAGAAAAGGCAAGAAAATGGGTTGTTTTGGAAATGACAACTCACACCCAGCCCTCTCAAAACCATTTTAAGAAGTAACCAAAGAGTTTGGGGTAAGTTTGTAAGACCAATTTTACTTCCTACAAGAGTGTCAGAGAGAGGGGGGAGGGAGGGAGGGGAAAGAGAGAGAAAACTACTCTAAGCTATAATTTAAGAATATCAAAGACTACTTATATCCCTATTGCAACAAACAGACCTTAATCACAGCACTGTGATTTAAGGGGAGGAGGGAAAAAAAGTTAGATTACCAGATTAATTTTTAAAGGAAAAAAAGAAATTGCCTCCTGCACATTGTTTATATTAGCCCTGTTGAGACAACTGTGATTTTCCATGCTGAATTCATTGTGTGTATATGTATATAATATTTGCAGAATTGTATAGAAGCAAACAGAACAGATAATACCATATGTACTGAGCTCTAAAATTTGAATGGCATGTTGCCATTCTGTGATAACTTCAGTGGCTCCCTAAATGTTTGGTTTGTGGTCTTTGAATCTGTAATCTGAAGCACATTTACTTGAAAGTAAAGGCCTTAAAATGAGATAGAAATTTCTTGGTCAAAGTCTCTCAGTTTAAGGAAGAAAAGGAATTTTTGAGAACCGAACCAACCCACTGGTTCCTCTTCTTTTTTTCTGAGTTGTGCTAGTTCAGCATCTAATACCGCTTACAGGGGATGATTTTATATCCTTGGCTCATTAGGGATTTTAGGGGAGTGGGACAAAGACCCCTAAGGAGAACCCTGGAAGCTGGATCAAGCAGTGGGTGAAGAGTATACACTTTCTCTCTGGGCCTCTTCTTAAAATGTAGATTTTGCTGATGAGTAACTTTAATGTTGTGACTTGTGAAAATGGTGGAATAAAAAAATGCAAAGAAGGGCACTATTTTTCAGGCCAGGAGAAACGTTTATTTGACTTCAAGTTAAGGCTACAAACCAATACGAAACAGCGTCTCTTGGCAAGGATGGGAACAGGCGGCTAGACGTGACAAATGCCATTTCAGACACACAAGAACACTGAATTCACCCTGCCCACTAAAACTTCCTATTAGTCACTGTAGAAATATTTCTAGTATTTACAAACATTTTAAACATACTATGGTTGGTCCAATCATATATCCTTTTAAAGTGAACTTCACTCACATTTATTTAAAAAAGAAAGAAAGAAAGTTTCAGAACTGGCCTGGGATAAAAACAAGGCCAGGATCAAATCACAGACTTGACAATTTCAAAGACAGATACATGAGTTTATATAGAGAGATATACTGAGTTTTTTTTAAAAAAAAGGTTTTTTGTGGTTGATGGTTTTTAATTTTCTTTCTTTTCTTTTTCTTTTTTTCCTGCTACTGAATTGCAGGAGCCCCCAACTTGAGTGGAAGGAAAAGAGGTAGGGTTCCACACAAAGTTGTGAACTTTTATGAACCCATCGTTCCTTCCCCATACTGGCTTATAAATAAGTTATAACATTTAAAAAGCACATTAAAAGAAAGAAAAGAAAAGAGAAAAGAAAGGGACATGCTAACTTCTTCCAGAAAGCATCATTATAGCACGGACACAAACATTTAGAACATCTAAAGCATCAAAGAAGCCTCTGGATTTTATCTTTTAATTTAAAGGGGTGATTGCAGCAAAAGACACAATCCTGGAATAATAGTACCCATGAAATTGCTTATTATTATTAATATTAATAATAATAATAATCATAATTTAAAAAAAATCAACAGCATGCTGAATGGAAAGTGCTTCACTTTACAGTACTCCAAACTTAACAAAAACAAATCTGGCTGTTGCTTTTTGTTTGCTTGCTTGTTTTAAACTTTCTTACTTCCTGCCCCATCTTTCCTATTTCTTAATATTTCTCCTTGGTATAATTTATGGCTGAAAAGCACTGCCACCAGATGCTAAGCTCATACTTTTGAGTTTGTTATCTTTCTTCCACTTCATTCGCCTGTTTTGGAACCAGATTTTTATCTGTCTTTCGGAGAGACACAAAGCGTGGGCTATTTCTATTCGCCTTCTGCGGGTGAGGTAGCGGTTAAAGTGAAACTCCTTCTCCAGCTCCAAGGTCTGGTAGCGAGTATACGCCGTTCGGGCTCGTTTGCCATCCGGTCCGGTCATATCTGAATAATAACAACAACAGGACATAGGAAAAAATGCCTTTTGTTGGTCTGCTTTCTCTTTTTAGATCACAGGCACAGAAAGAGACCGCGCGTTCAACTGTTTCCTCCTCCGTCGCCTTACACTGCAGACAAACGCCCCAGCAAATTGAGCACACGGCTTCTCTGCGTCTCCGTTTCCTCCATGTCAATATCCTTCGTTTTAATCTGGCTTCGGCCTTATTTCTAATTAATTTAGATTCATATCTCACTCTCATTCTCACACTCTTTACAGCCCTATATCTTTTTCCAGGAGCCGAGAACATGTTTTTCTAACACAATCTGATTCTACGCAGGTTTCTTCGGAGGAAACTGCTGCTGTTGGGGCCTGGCTCACAGTTCACGGAGTTTGGTCTCGGAAGACAATCTCCGAAATCCGCCCCCTCGTCTCTTTTCCCTCGGTCAGTCCAGTTCGACTGGCGATCAAAACAGGCCGACTGAAAGACTGAGAGGCAACATTCCTAGGCGTTGCGCCTTTCCTTAACACCCCCCACCCTACCCCAGTCTCTGGCCACATTTCATTGGAAGCAACTTCCGCTGAAACCCTTAGGGCTCGCTTTCCACCGAAAGGGAGTTAGCCTCGGCGTACGAAGCGGGTCGCCAGGCAGTTCCTGCTTCCAACTCTGAGGCGCACACCCTTCTTTCATTTTTACCTCATGGGTTGAAGGGAGAGGCAAAGAGTTTGCCACCGCCGCATTTCGCCCTTGCAGACAGGGAAATGTGGGGCGGAGGGGGAGGGGAGGGAGAGAGGTTGACAGACCCATCTGTGCCCCAAACAGCCTTCCTTTTTAACCCTTCCCGCTATCTTTCCCATTTCTTTCCTTCTCCCTTTTCAATTCTTGCTACTTTCCAACATCTCCCACCCCTCCGTTCCTAATACTAGGCTGTTATAAGCGCTAGTCTTATATTATTGTTACCATCAATACAGTTTGAGTTTTGCCATGTTGATAACATTTTTTAAAAACGGAGGGAACCTTGATTTTTTTTGAAAAATAAGAAAATACTCTTTAAGAATCGAACATTATAATGAAAGAAAGAAACACTGAAAGCAAATAGAAAAGGGCATCTGGAGAGAGACAGGAAAGTGGTTTCACAAAGCGATTGAATTCCTTCTTCCGTCGCCAAAGCAAATATGTCCTGCCAAAATCCTATGCTTTATGTGTATGGGTGTGTATGTATGTACACACACACAAACACAGAGAGAGAGAGAGAGACCACAGACCCAGAGAGAGGCAGACAGAAGGCGCAAGCACGCATCCCATAGATCACCCCAGCCAAATTAAAAAGGAGCAAGTCCATACCGTGGCTAATGTGAAGCTTTCGCATCCAGGGGAATATCTGCGGGCTTTGTCCTTCCGTGGCCGGCGTGGAAGTGGCGATCGGCTCTGCCTGAGCTCGGGCGCCGTTGCTGTTGACTTGGGAGCCGCTCTCTTCGGGCCCCGAAGACGCGCTGGTCTCGTCTATCTCGGCAAACGCAGTGGCGCTAGCCGCGCCAACAGAGGCTGCCTGGTCGGCAGGGGAGGACCCGGCTGCCTTGCCTCCATGGCTTTCGCCACCGCCGCCGCTGCCGCCGCCGCCGCTACTGCTGGTGCTGGTGTTGCTGGTGCTGCTGGTGCAAGGAAGGGATTCGGGAGAAGACAAGGAGCAGCTGGACGCCTGTCTGAACCTGCTTTCGGGCGCTGCTTGGGCAGGGAAGGCGCGAGAGCTCTCCCCAACAGCTCCAAAGTGGCTGGTGGAGGAGGATGATCGGCTGATGCTCAGATCCATTCCATTGTAGTTGTATCCCCCGTAAGAGCCGGCGTGCATGTTGCCTGGATCTCTATAAGATCCGTTCATGGAACTGCCGGCCCCATAATTTAACAGCTGATAGTCTGGGGCATTAGGATAGCGTCCTGAGAACGAGTTTACAAAGTAAGAACTCATTTGGGTTTGTATTTTGGAGGGCTTGATTTGTGGGGCTCGTGGTCGTTATAACCCCTGTGCTTGAGGATTTATGATGTATTAATGAATTATAGCGATGCACTGTACTTCGTTTTTGCTATGTATGCGGCCAAATATGGGGGTGGGGTGGGGGGTGCGTTTGGGAATCACGTGCTTTTGTTGACCAGTCGTAAATTCTCACTGATGACCTCAAGAGGCAATTCATGCTCTATGGTTACAAATAATGACGATCCGAGAATCGTTAGGCCCATGTCAATGCGCGGCTTCCAAAGAGGGAGGAAAGAAGGGGGAGGAATCAGCGAGCACAGATGGCTCCTTGTTGGCATTGTGCGCCACCTACTGGGTAAATAAAAAAGTAGCCGACAGGGAGGTTACCTCACTCACCTTTTTTTTAAGTAGTCAAGCGCTCAGTTTTTGTGTCCTCTGCCTTTTCTAGAAATAAAATGTTTTTCCCCCAAAAGTCTCGTTTCTGTCTTTTTTCTCTACTTTCTCTTTTTCTTCCATACGAGAGCATGCTTTTCTAATGCGGAAAAGAAATTTTCTTGTTATAGTAGATGCAGTATAAAATTGTTGCTATTACTATTATGAATAACAGTTGTTTAATACCAAATAATAATCCCGGTGATATTTTTGGTTTGATATTAGAAACGGTTATTCAGGGCAAAAATTCGGATGAAAATCAAGATGATAATTCCTCTTTCTCTTTCCTGCATCCCTTTTTTTAACTTGCATCTCCTGCTTAGGAGTCACCATCAACATCAAAAGTTGCTTGAATGTTTTTGCATTATTATCATTATCATAGTATTATTTCTACTTCTATTCCTACACTTTAATACAGTGCAAATAATAGAAGGGGGAAATCAACTTATCCTGACATTATGTGTGGGGTTTTTTTTCAAATAATCAGCAGTATGATGAATTATACAACTGGCAATCTCATGAGGGAACTGTTTCAAATGAAGAGGGTTTTCAACATTCATTTAAATTATTAAAATATTTGGTAATGATCAATTTTATAATGATGGGCTAGATTTGGATCTGGAATTCTTTGTTTTTGTCCAGCCACATCACTATTTTCTTCCATTCTTCTTCTGCCAACCTACAAGAATTTACAAAAACCAGCTTGCAACTCATTGAAAATTATGAGCCATATTGAAACTGACACTTAGTCATAATAATCATAGCTACTAAAAAGTGTAGCAATAAGAATAAATATTATGCAGCTGCAAGACTTCAGAATACACAATTTCATTGTATTTGGAAGGTGGGAAGGAATTAATGTCTTTATACTTGAGCATGTGAAATGAGAGTGTATTAAAAAGGAAATTATTGTTTCACCACTTTTTCTTCTTTTCAAAAAAGGATTCAGAAAATATAAAATAGTAAAAACAAACAAACCAGGGATAGCTGTTAACAACTTGCTAAGGACAACAGCAAACAATTGTTAACCTTCCTTAGGTAATCAATGCTAGGAAAGGAAAGGAAAGGAAAGGAAAAAGAATTAAATGAGGACAAATAGATTTAAGCTTCTCTTTTTTAAAATGCTACCTGAATATTTCCTTTTAAATCGGTTTATTTAACCCATTTTTTTCTTTTGATCATAGGACATTAATAGCTCCCAGTCTCATATTTTAGCTTAATTTGTAGTAAGATATTAAGGCTAGTTAGAGGACTTGAGGAGGGGGGAATTGGAAAGATTTACCTAAGAGGAACTTGAGCCAATGTTTGAGAAAGGCTATGAAAATGTTATGTATGTTTTAGCAGATGTAGAATGGGACAGCGAATTATGCCTGTTTCTTTGATTTATTATATATGTGGTGTGCACCCCACATAACTCTTTTGTGCAGTAATAATAAAAAAATCCATATTAAAGTTAAATGTCAGCTCCAATATATTCTTGGTGAAAAGGTCTTTTATTTAAGTTTAGGCTAAGGAAGTGAAAGTCGTGTGTGCGTCTGTGTGTGTGTGTGTGTGTGTCTGTTTGTAAGGGGGGGACTGAATATATCTTCCTCTAACTTCTGTTGTGTTTAAGGAATTGCTTGCCTGTTCAGATTAAGGAAATCTGTTTTTTTAAAGCAGGTTTTTAATTTTTTTTACTACCAACCATACACCTCGTATAGATATAGAAGTATTCATTAGAAATGATGTGGAAAGAAAGAAAAAATACATTCTAAATTATGAACATAAAAGTGTTTTTCCCAGTGTACTTGTTTTTATCTTTTTATTGTTTTTATAGTTCTTTTAAAATCTCCATAGCTAACACAAACTACAAATACAACACTATACAAATTGTAATAAAATAAAACCAATTAAAAAAACTCTTTAAAAAAATCCACCATACTTTTTAGGTTGCAATTGTTCCTTTTTAATATAATTTTGCTTAAAACAATAACCCTTAAATGACAGAGAACCCAGGGCTTGATTAACTTAATTTTATATAAAAAAGCAAACAATAAGTAAATCGTGCATGACACTTCTGTTTTACAAAATAAAGACAATCAAATAGCCCCAAACCTGACACATATATTGCAGCACCTCCACTTAAATACAAGGGTTAACAAGAATCTTAAGGAGGACACCCAAAGGTAAATCAAACAAAACAAAACACAACCACAATCCCAACTGTGGCAAAGAGAAGGGGCAATAAAGAGGGTGGGAAAATAAATTGGACTAGAAACATGGTTATGATATGATAAATTCAATAATTCAATGCAAGTGAGGGTGTAAAAGGACAACACCACCATAACAGTCTCAGATATTTTTACAAAAATGTTTGTCTCAGTTGTGCCTTTTGGGTGGGAGGAGTTGCCCAATTGTTGACATTCTGCTTTCTCATTCATCATTCATTCATTCACTCTGCATTTATTCCGGCTCTCATTCTCTCTTTCTCTCCCAGGTTCTGGGTTCTGCTTTTTCATTCCGTTGGTTTCTCCTCTTCTTCTTCGGCGCTCAGCTGAGTGGAGTTAAGGAGCTTGTTCTCCTTTTTCCATTTCATCCTTCGGTTCTGAAACCAGATTTTTATCTGGCGCTCCGTCAGACATAGGGCGTGAGCGATCTCGATGCGTCGGCGCCTGGTCAGGTAACGGTTAAAATGGAATTCTTTCTCCAGCTCCAGAGTCTGGTAGCGCGTATAAGTCTGCCGGCCTCGTCTGCCACTCGGCCCAAAGGAGGTACCTGGTGGGGATGGAGAAGAAGGCAAGTGTGTGCTACTGAACGTTTACTGGAGTTACACATATACGTGCCAATGGCTATGCTATGCACCAGAGTATCTTGTTGTGAATTTGTGCGTGTGCACGTGGGGGGGGGAGAGACCCCATTCCCTGCAGTAATATTCCTACTTCAAGTGGCCCCGCTCTCTTGTTTTCAACTTCAGCTATCAAAACCCACTGTAGTACCTAATACCAGTGATAATCAAATCCACTCCTATCTAATTGGCTTTTCCCTTCGTGCTTGGGGACATTTCTTTTTCCAGAACAATTCTGTTTCAGGTTGGAATTAAAAACTTGAAGATACACCTCCCAGAAGTTCCTTGCCTGCTCTTGGCTGAGCAGCCAGAAAGCTCAGCTTGAAAACTTGCAACTCCACCATACAATCTGTTTTGTTTGTTTGCATGTTTATCTTTTTCTAGAAGAAGGGGAGGACAAAACTTTGGAAAGCAATGATGTAACTCAGAAGCTTACTGTTTCTGGGAGAGTTAAGGAAACTGCTTCTTCACCAAAAGGTTCTCTCTACCTTTCTCTCCCAGCAAACTCGAGTGCCCTCCTGAGTAGTATTCACAAGGACTAAAATTGCTGCACTGGGACACTTGCTTGGGAATAAATCCCATTCTGTGGTGCTTTCAAAAGCAGCAGAAGGTGAAGTGACTTAATATGGGGGGGTATTTAAACAAAGATAAGTAACACTCCTTCACACAGTTGAGGGTCTAGGAGCAATGGCTTATATTCATTATATATAATGAATGAGTGCAATAGCAATCTGACAAGATTTGTTTTGGGAGAGTTATCTATGTACTTCCTTCCCTCACTTCCATTAGGAAAGAATTAATGTCCAAAGTTAAGAATTCTTTTTACCCTATGCTCTTCATTTTCTTCTGGACACTCACCTCTGACCAAGTTTATTTCCCTTATGTGGTGCTTAGTCTTTCCTCTCTTTTATTTCTATATTCTCTTCCCCTCTGCCATTCAGATCTAATTGCTTTAGATTCCACAACTTATCTACCTACCTAATCTATCCACCTTTTACCTATCTCTCTCCATTGATTTCCCTTAATTTCCCCTCCCTTTGGAATGTAGGGAGGGAAGGAGGAGCTGTGGCTACATCTTTATCTTCTTTAAATGAATTTTTATGGAAATTATGGCACCTGGAAGCAGTCTTTGATCAGAAAGCTATCTACAACTTCCTCTTCAGGCAGGCATTCAATTAAGGCTTGAGTTTCATTAAAAATGTAGCTTTCTCTTTTCAAATATTTAAGCCCTCCTGACATTATACAACAAGCTGAGTGTGCTGAATATGCCTTTGGCTGAATTGGTATCCTGTCTGTATCACTGGGAGAGGGGAAGAGAGATGTGGAAAAGAAGTTGAAATCCAGATCTATTGAAAACAATTGAGGAGTGGGGGTCAGTTTGATAGCAATTGCGTCCTGTGTGTGATTGTGTGTGCACGCGCAGATGAGTTTGAGTGCCAAGATGCCTTTCTAAATCACCCCTAGTGAGTGACAGCTAACATTGCCTTCTACAAGACAAGAGCCGCTCAGTCAATAAATCTCTGCACTTTCAGTTGCAGAAAGTTGGCTAAAGAGAGGAACCAACTCTAGAGAAGTTCCTGCAGATAATGTGACAAACATACAAACAAACAAACAAGCTAGGCAGCGCCTTTCAAGCACAGCGTAAGCAGTGCAAAAAAGTTTGAAGGAAATTTCTGGCTCTACTGCCTGCAACTTCAGATTAGAAGAAAAACATTTCCTGCTTTATCTGGGTAGCCATCTGTCACCTAACATGATTGGGAAGAATGAGGGGGGAAAAGCAACTTACTATTGCAGGAATTCATTCTCTGCATCCAAGGGTACACTGGCGTGGAGCACTTTTGATCCTCGTTGTCCCCGAAAACGTGCTTGCTCTGTGAGCATTCTGACTTCCGGGCTTGTTCCTGGCCGAACTGAACAGGCTCCTCTAGGCTCGAAAGAGAACAGCCTGTCTCTTTCTCCCTGTAAAAACCAGATGTCCCGTAATCGCAGGCTGGACTCCGGTTGTAAGCTCCGTTGGTTTGCTGGTAGTAAGGCGCGCCCGCGTAACCTTTCTCCTGGACCCCACCGCCCCCAGTTCCATACGTGCTGGGATAGTGTCTTAAAGGATCCGCGTAGCCCGTGGAATATAAAGGGAGCTGTCCCAGAAACGGTTCTTGACCTCCGGCTAAGCTCACCGGAAAAGTAGAGTTGACAAAATAAGAACTCATTGGAAATAATAATAACAATAACAATAATAATAGTTAACCAGAAGAACAGCGTCTGTTCTTTCCCTTGCTCTTTATGATTTGTTGCGTTTTATAGTCCAAGCGGTTTAGCTATTAGCAGTATATGGGAGATTGGGTTTTAGCTGAAGGGGGATGGCCGCGTGCCAACCAGGGACATAAGGGAAGAGAACCATCTGATCACGCGCTGACCAATAGCAGGAGTCGGAGGCTGCGAAATAGCACCCTAGAGGGGTTAGCTCTGCACAGGGGACCCCCCAGAACAAACCAGTGAAAGCATCCCTGCCACCAATATTATCACCTTTAAACAACAGAAACGCCCCCCCCCACGCACAAGACACTACTCTTTACCCCTGTTTCTCCCCCCCCCCTTTATCACGTACTCAGTATCTCGGAAAAGATAAATCCAAGAGCTATTTGGGGGTAATTTTTTTGGTAGTAACAAACAAACACGAGAAAGGTGAAAGATATGAAGAATGACGCCGGTCTTATCCTTGCTGCTAGCAAGGAGAGGGAGGAGGAAAACATGAGAAATATTTTCAACTTGAAAAGTTTGTGGTTTTTTCATATGTGTCTGGAAGAGGAGGAGGAGGAAGAGGAGGATGGGAAGGCGCATTATCTCCCTCCTCCCCACCCACCTTTGGGTTCAAGTGGGGGCAATGGGAGCCTTTACTGTACAGCCAGTTCAAGCGCTCAAGCGCTAGATCTGGAGAAGGGGAAAAATTCCAGCGAGCGTCTTTTGCTGCGTCCTCTGAGCACAGGACAGAGCTTTCTATGAAGAATTTTAAACTCCTCGGGAGGTGCGACTGGGCATCTGGAGGATGGGGTTACAATTTATTCTCCGTTCTCCAACTCTCCTACTCCCCCACGGGTATGTGTTTCTACCCTCTCCTCGCGCCTATTTTATCTCTCCGGTCTAATTAAATCCCTCCAGTATAAGTTTGCGGCTCCGTGTCCGAAGTCCGAGAGAGGCATTTGCCGGTCTTCGAGCTCCCATGACATTCTGCGCAATGAACGGTGCCCTCTTGCGTTTTTACGGTTCAGGCCGGGTCTTTGGACAGGTTAGAGTTAAAAACAGCGGCTGGTCTGACTGCCAACCCTCCCCCCTTATTGATCACCTAACATCAGAAATTATTAAATTTAAAGCAGGGGATAGTCCCAGGGTGAGAGATGTCAAGATGGTTGATAGGAGCTTTGGGGGCAGAGGGGAAATCCCGGTTTTCTATTTTATGCGTTTGGGTTTGCAGTAAATTCGGAAATAAAATTAAACCCGAGTCTAATTCGTTGATCTGCTTTAAAACTTATTTAAAAAAGATAACTATGAAGGGGATGAAAAAGTTGACCTAAAGGCTGGAGTTTAGCTTTTGACTTTCGCCTCGCCAGTTCTCACACTTGGCTGGCGAGCCTCGACCTCCAGCGATAAAATTATCCTGTCTTTGCACGGTTATGACAGTTCAAAAAAAAAAAGATGTGCCCATTTCTCCCCCTCCTCCCCAATTCCACTTCTTTCGTATGCAATTGTGAATTCAAGCAATCTTATAAAGATGCTCCAGTTTTTTCTACAACAGTGAAATAGTTCCAAATTGTAAAATGTTACTTGCCCTGCCTATCATTTTGCCACCATTGTCCTACTTACTCTCTCTCTGCCTCTGTTTCTTTGCTCCGTTTTACTGGCCAATTTATCCATCCTTTCATCCGGTTCATCTTCCATCTTTTCTCAGGAAATAGCCATTACAGCAGTACTGTTTTCGATTCTCAAAAACTTTGAAGCTCTGTTTACAGACCTCACATCTTCATCACCAATCTACAAAAATACATACCTCTTTCCTGATTCTCTTTACCTATCACGGGATTTCCCTCCACTTTTGGACGTATCTGTCTATCATCCCTCGATTACAGATGTGCAATCTGTTCATAAGAATTCTCCACCACACCTTCAATTGCTCCCAGACTGGATTTACATGGCAATGCTATCCCTGCAATGACCAATGCGATTTCTTTCTGTTAAGGATTAGGGAACCACAAAACATGTTGGCTTGCTATCTAATTTGTTAGCCTGTTTTTTTAAAGACATAGAAACCCACAGGGTCCCAACACCACTATAATATAATTCTTAGAATGAAAGGAAATCGCAAGCAAGGGGAGTAATTTTTGTTTGTTTGTTCAAGGCGCTCTCCCTCTTTTCTTTTTCTTTTCTCTCTCTCTTACACACACACACACACACACACACACACACACACACACACACACACACACAAACCTACAAACTACCCTGGTCTTTGATTTGTGTTCCTGCTGATTCTTTCCCCCCTTTCCTTTATGTTCAGAGTACACCCTAACTTTAAGTTAATCTGTTTTACTGGTATGTAGAAACAGAGAAAATTGGGCGGAAGAAGAGTAAGAAAGCGGATCTGAGCAACCCCACCCCACTCTCAAAAAACTAATTTCAAATCAGCACAACACTTCAGATCCCTGCTTAATAATAGATTAGCAAGAATCTCTGAATGGATTATTTGGCTATTTAAGTGAGTAAATGTGCTACCTTTGAACTTTTAATCTTAAGAACTGGAACTGGAAATGCGCATTGTGTGGATGGGTGGATGTGGGGGGGGGAAGGCATTGGTCTGGTAAAGGATTGCTTATGGAATAGAAGATAGTTAAATTTGAAATATATAATAAATACATTTAAAAATATTTAATGTATACTCTTTAAAATGGAAAAAGCCTGGTCTTTTTCAAACCTGTTTGTTGGAGAAAATTTGGCAACTCAGATGGAATATTTTAAATGTTGCAAAATATTTGAAACTTTAAATCTGAAAATAGGTAAACTCAAGTTAATCCACTGATTGATTTGTCCTGCACTAGCAATTATTTATTGTCCAAATATGAGAAAAAACTTCCCACATTGCCAAATCCTGGCAATGCTTTCAATGTATTTTGATTTTACAGCTTTTAAAAAGTACAAATTGATACCTGAAAATGACTTGAAAACCTGCTGTACACTATTCTATGTTGTAAGTTGGGTGTATGTTGTAGTAGTAAGGAAACATCAGTTTTTAGTAATCAATATTTGGGGCCAGAATAATCCTTCAGATTATTGCTATTTATTCATTTATTCATTCATCATTTATTTATTTGATTTCTATAGCCCCCATCTCACATATTATCTAATACCATAGATAGTTGAGAATATGCCTAGCCCATCAACATCTTTTTCTTCTAATACTAATAATTTTCATCCTCCTTCCTCCTCTGATTACTATGAAAATATAGGGGACCTTATTCTTAGGTCCCTTGGCAAACTTTTATAGTGGGCAATATTTTTCAACTAATATTTTTGTTAGTTGAAAATAATACATGAGATAGCTATAAAGCAAAGAGATTCTTCTCTATGACCTGTTATTGTTATAAGATACTGGTAGGCTTTTCTTAAACTCAGAAAATTTATCTTGACCAGTTTAAGGCATAAGGTATGAGAAGAATTAATAAAGATTAACAGTATTTATTTATAGAAGTTGTAGCTGGTATTTTGCTGAAAAAGTGCCCCTTGTTTCTGACCTCTCCTGTTTCCTCTCCATTCTTTCCTGTCTTTGCTTTAGCAAAATCCAACTTTAAAGAGCACAAGGAAAAGTGGTGATGGCGGTGGGGGAGATAAATGAAGGGATTAAAACCTACACCCAAATATTTCTTTAGGCAGATGCTAGGCCAGGGAATTATTTGGTGGCAAAAGGAGGGGGAGAGTTGAAGCAAGCTTAAGCAATCAGAAAATTTTCAATAAGATATAAAATGGCAAGTAAGTAAGGAAATTTTATTTCTCCTTTGTGAATGGGGGTGTTGGAATTCAGCAAACAGCATGATCTTTTACAGGAGAATCAAATTGGTACCATAAACTTAAGATTGGCCTTTAAGTACACCCTGTACACACACACACACACACTCACACTCACACACACTGGGGGGAGGAAAGGGAGAGAGAGAATTGAATAGCCTCATAAATTTATTTAGGATCATAAAAGTATTCACAAGAGATGAGCTTTTTTTGTCTTACCACAAAGTCTAACTGATGTTTATATTGTGGGCATTTATAAAACCTACTAAAGGCACACAACTCATAATACACACACACATACACACAAGCATGTACACACCCACCCACACATACTTTGTCTTATCCTCTCAATTTCCTGTTTTCAAGCATGTAACCATTCAATTTTAATTTTCAGCCATTTGTGTTTAATTTACCTGACATCCCCTGTAATGTATAATCATCTTTTTAATGGGATTGTGGAGGATTTAAAAAAAGAGTATGGGGAAATTCCCTTTCATTACTTTATCAAAAGGATTAAGCTAATAATTAACTAGAAGGGGAAATGGCTGTTTATAGTAAAGTTAAGAAACAAAACAAACAAGCTGGCCCCACATTTTTTGGAAATGGTTGATTTAAAAAACCAGAAATGGCAAATGCTGCAAAACAATATTTTAACGTATTTTCCAGCTCTCTGAAAGTAACAGAGGAGAGGGAAACTAATGTAATTGTCACTTGGCTATCTTGTGTGATGAGAGATGTTCTAAAATAACTCAGAAATCCTCTATCTCAGATGTTAACCTCATTATAATGATATTTATACAAACATCATAGTCTATATTAACTGGAGGAATGCATATAATTGAGGCATAAAAATAAAATGATTATATTTAATCTGATTCTGATAACATAAGTTTGTGTGTGAGTGCGTGAGTAGCCTATGGTTAATAAAGTTTATACTTACACACCAGCCCTCTCTAACCCTAGTAAAATTTTGAACAGTAATATCAAACTATGTCTTTCAGTTGAAAAATGGAATAGGTTTGTCATATATTGACAAAAGTACCTTTTTATCAGTTTACCAGAAACAATTAAGCAAAACAGTTTACATAATTCCTTAGGAAAAGATTTTTTTAAACTGATACAAAGACATATAAGTCCTATCTGAAATGTTCCTACATTCCGAAAGTTGTAAAAAAATACTTCATGCAATTTAAAAAGAAGAGTCTTACCATGAATGCATTTTAACACACACTAACACAATCTTAACTAAAATAGACGGGTAGAAATTCTCTTCAGCCCATTTTCCAGATTCTGTAAGGCATGTCTAATCCATTACATGACAAAAATAAATTAACTGTAGAAAATGAAAATCTTGGTCTAGTTAAACTAGTTTTCATGGGAAATTTATCATTGTACAGCATGGAAAGCAACTCGAAGAATTCTTTAATTGGACGGTAGATGGCAGCAAACAGCACCGAATGAGAAGGCAGAGTAAAAGGCGAACAGTTAAAATAAAAGAATAGGTGCTCCGTTGGGGAGGAGAAAACTGCACACATATAAACAACTTAGCTGTGTTGTTTAAGCAATAGGAATTCTTTCGTGAGTGGCCTTTATATAATCCACTTACATAAAATCCATCTTTTAACTGGAGAGTGATACTTCCCAGTAGGAGTAAAAAAGGCCATAATGAATACATGAATATTGGAAAACAAGAGGTTTAGAAATGGCACTAGTCTGAAAATAGAAAAAAAACCTATTGTATTAATACAACAACAACCACAATTCAACTCTCAAAAGTCTGGTGGATAGAAAAGAAGGGTACAGAGAATCAGATCACAAAAAATCTTAGTCCAACAGTCATAACTAGATATAAAAATGTAGAAGACATATTATTTACATACTTTCATTTTTCCCCTTTATATTCCATGCAGTTGTGATTTATTTGCAGCAAGGTAATGTTGATAAAGAAACTTGGAAGGCTAGGAAGTTAGATAATTTTTGGTTTTTAAAATGTTTAACTAACCGTTACATACATTTCAAACTGAGTAAGCCGTATTCGCTTCCAAGTAATAGTAGTTCTTTTTTCAAGTACAGCTTTTCAACACTTTTTACTGGTAAATGGTTAATTGAACACATCAGCCAAGAAACGTTTTAAATTATTCTGTGAGGATCCCTCCCTCTTTTTTAAAAAAGCATATCAATTAGAATCTAGTCAAATATTATTTATAGAGCAACAAAACCAAAAACAATATTTCTAAATATTGATGGAATGACATGTACAAACATCATCTTTATACAGTACTGTTGTGTCTTACAACACATACACCTGCATGCACGTGCATTTTATATTAACACCCAAATGTAAGCAGTGTTACCTCCCTTATATTACAGTTTTGGGGGTTTTATGTCTTTAGTTTAAAACCTAGTACCCTTGAATTTTTCCCTTAATTGTATTTATTGTTGTGACCAGCTATCTCTGTGTTCTATCTCTTCTCACCCTCCCAACCTTACATAGACGGAACAGTTTGTTAGAAGAAAAATCACCTACGTCCACACAGAACACCCTGGAGAAAAGGATCTAAATCGAACTGGCTGCTGTACAGAACTTCTTAAAATGAGTGGATTCGCTCGCTGACAAGCAAGTCTCGATAAATCGTTCTTCCTGGGATGGGGAAGAGATTTGAAGGGTAAAAGAAAGAATGAAAAGAAGCCTACAGAAGGGGTTGTATTTCCCCTATGTTAAAAAAATATATGACTATTGAGGTAGCTCGAATTCTCTAGGTGACAAGGATATCTTAATCCCTCCCTCCTTCCTTCTTTCCTTCCTTCCTTCCTTCCCTCCTTCCTTCTTCCTTCCTTCCTTCCTCTTATGTAATGATATATTTAACAATAGCTTTTCACCATCTCATATTTTTTTATATTTTTTCATATAAAAAAGAAAGCAAATCTATGTTCAGTTCTTTGCCTCCTTCAAATAATATCAGCTTCAATTTTAGAAAATTATGAGCTTACCTTTTGATGCCCATCCTTCTCTGGATTGGGAGGAGGAGGAGGAGGATGAAGAGGAGGAGGCGAAAGAGGAGGGGGGGAGATTGAATTGCGTTTGCTTTTATATGTAAGCTGACAAATATTGTCCCAACCTGATAGCCGTCCATTGCGACTTCTGATAGCTTTTTTCCTTTGCCGCGTCGTTTTGTACAGAAAATGGAGTAACTTCCCTCTTTGAAAAATGACCAAAGCCTCCATCCGGTACCGATTCTCCATTTCCCCCTCCATCATTAGAGAGAGAACCCGAGTCAGTACAGAGAGAATTGGAAAAGGAAGGGTAGATGGGATCAATAATATTAGCTATTTAAGCTTAGTCCCAGTTATGCGTGCATCTGCGAAAGTGTTTGTGTGTGTGTGCATGAGAGAGAAACTGTGTGTGTGCGCGTGTGTTTGTGCGGGCGCTTCCCCTGCTCCTCCTCTATTTTTAGCCCTATTGAGCTTATACATGAAAGCAAAAAAAAAATGTTAAAAGAGACGACAGTCCTACAGAGGACAGTGATCCGACCCAAGGTACAGCGGCCAAAAGAATGGTAGAATAACCACATGGGAAATCATAAAAAGTTCATGTTCACGGTTAGCAGTCCACATGACCAGCTCTGGCCAATCGCAGAACCCAGCCACTCATAAAGTTCTATCACAAAGTTGTAAATTTTCATAAAACAACAAGGAATTTATTGCATTTCTTCATGACTGCTTTAACAGCAGTCTTTTTCTCAGCCGCCATCTTTTCTTTAAAAAAAGAGGGAGAGTAGAAGAAAGAATATACGAAGATTGGGGGGGGGGATCCACATCTCGGCAGGGGGCCTTAAACAACCCCTCCTTCATTAAAGGTTAAAAGAACCTCCTTGCGAAGCCACCTCTCTGCACAAACCCTCCCAAGCTTTCGACCCTTCTTCGCTGTAGGGATCCACCACTGTCTCATACCTGTAGTATGGAAATGCGGGAGGAAAGAGGGAGGAAGGCATAGAAGCACTTGTTCTGAAATTATGTTTTGTTTCGTTTAAAGCAAAAGTGGTTCTCCTTAGCTTAATCGGACTGGGGTGGGGAAGAATATTCTCCCGCGATTTCCCTCCCGGAAATTCGCTATGAAATTAAAACATTAAATGCTCCAGTTTCAAGACATCAGGGGAAAAAAACAAGTATATAATCGGGTCGTAAGAAACATATTTAACGGAGTCAGGCATATAGATGTTATTAAATTCATGTATTTGTATATGTATACATGTGAAACATGTGTATTTACATATCTATATGTGTGTATATACACAGACATACAAGAAGGAAGAAAGAAAGAAAGAAAGAAAAAGAAGGGGCGTATACTCGCACAGGCGCATTAAGGTTTTTGAAGGCGTACACACTACCGCAGTGGTACATGCCACGAACACAATAGTAGTGGTCCAATGCAGCAAAATCGCATAAGGGTGGGTGATAGGACAGTTCAGGAATTCTGTTTCTACCCTTAGAACCTATCCACTGAAATTACTTATTTTGCTTGAGAAAGGAATATACATTTTTGTTTATTTGGTCTTTCAGATCCAACCCATTTCAAAGAAGAAATTAGACATAGTATTCCCTCTCCTTATTTCTCTGGATAGATTCACGCAACCATCAATTAACAGCAAAGCAATTATTTTCTAATATTTTATTTTGATAATTTTATATATGCGTATCTATTTCACCTATCTTTCTATTGCACACACATACTCATACCCAAGAATATACATCTCTTCTGTATGGATGTAACTGTATGCAATATTACAAGATCTTATCTAAAAATTATCTATTTCTTTTCATAATCTATAAGTAATATTTTTAAATATTTCCTTCACAGAAGTATTAGTATACAGTTGAAGGCAAAGATCTAACTGAAAAATACTGGAGAGAAGAATTTTAAAACATCAAAATAATGTTACAGAAAGTGTGAGTGAGTAAAAATATCTATTTCATGATTTTATTTTTACTTTAAGTTTAATTAAGAGTTGCTTTGCTTTTTCCTATTTGTCATTTATCTTTACATTTTGACCATTTAGCACCTTACCACAAATGAAAACAAAAGCAACTCTGTACTTCATAATCATAAAAAATAAAATGCAAAGTAGTTAAGATACCATTCCTCTTCTATTTCTGCAATTACTGGTCTAGGATGTGAAAGTACAAAACTGAAAAACTAAATTGAAATGATGCCTTGAATGTGTCTGAAATTTGTTACAAATGTTATGTTGCCTTTCTGGCTTAAATCATTCATTTGTATTATTTTTTATTAACTTTTACTTGCCACAGATAGATGTCTCCCTATGAAAAGGTTAAAGATACAAATTGAGATAAATCTAAGGAACTGAACATGCATTTTGTTGGTGTTATTATTAGTAGCAGTCGCAGCGTATCTTATTTGCTGTTCTTTTGTCTTTTGAAGAAGCTGATTGAAAAAAGGGAATCACATGACACAGTTTCTCTTCTTTTCTTAATCAAGGCTCTTGATGTCAACTCTTAAGCAGACCATCACAAGCTTTAACCCTCCATTCTGTTCCCAAAGTGGCCAAACTATTGACATTGGTAAGCTCATATGCCTGCCTTATGCAGGGAGAATAAAATAGCTTGTGATTTTAACATGATGTAATCAACAGAGAAGGTTGCTGGATTTTTGCAATAGGATTGAAAGGAATTTTTAAACATGCATATCAATAAATGGAAGAAAATAGTAGGAATTGGGAAGGAATTTTTGAAATCTGCTCTCTCAAAGCATAGGCGCCAGTTGGAAGACACAGGAACGCTTCCCTGTTCACACCAAATAAATGATATCTCTCACCCATGTAAAGCTGCTCAGTGTCACTTTGCACTGCGAGATGAACGGCATATAAATTTGATAAATAAAAAAAAAATACAGCCATTAATGGACAGAATATTTATAATATTGTTTTTAATTATTTTCCCCTTTCTACGCAGAGTAATCACAGAATACAAATCAAAAAGATTGGTAAACTATTAAAGTATTTGCTATCATATACATTGGTTTTACTCAGCACAATATTAATTTCAGATTCTCTAGTGACAGTAAAAATGAAGTGGTCCATTGCCAAACATGTAAAAATATACATCAACAAAAACAAAATAAAATAAAATGAGCAAGAAAAAAAACAGCACCAGTAATCAGACGTAGAGGCACAAACCTACGAAGAGGAAGACAGAAATTTTACAGAATTATGTACAACAATTTTGTCTTCTGCTAAGTTTTGTGTTCCCTTCATACATTTGGAGTTCACGAGTTTTCTAAGGAAAAGTGCTAACCACGTCCACATTTTTACTTCATAAACCATTTCTTTTAAATTACAAGAGGCTCAAAAAGAGAAGTTTTAAACAAGAAAATTTACAAATACTTGGACTATATTATACCAACATGAAAACAAAACAGTTACCTAGATTTGATTCTAAAGAGACATTTAATAGGTAGGTTTCTTTTTTGTTGTACAAAAACAAAATAAGAGAGAGAAATGTTAATATAGGTAGTTTTCCAAGTGTCAAGAAGCAGAAGAAAGAATCCTTTCAGTTTGCTTAGATGTTTGTTTCTTGTTTCAATGTACAAACTATTATGTTAATTTTTACATTTTCCTCTAAATTTGTGGAACAATGCAGTCAGACTGCTTTTCTTTCTTTCTTTCTTTCTTTCTTTCTTTCTTTCTTTCTTTCTTTTCAGTGCCATTCTCTCTCTTCCATTCCCACTTTCATCCCTTCTTTTTCTTTCACTCTTCTTCATCTTCTTCAGCCTCTGGTTTTTCCTGGCTATTTGAGCCTGGCCCTGCAGGTTTGTTTTCTTTTTTCCACTTCATCCTTCTGTTCTGGAACCAGATTTTGATCTGTCTTTCTGTAAGACATAGAGCATGGGCTATCTCAATGCGTCGCCTTCTGGTCAAGTAACGGTTGTAATGGAATTCCTTCTCCAATTCCAGGGTCTGGTACCTGGTATAGGTCTGGCGGCCTCTCTTTCTGTCAGTTCCTGGAAAATAAAGAATTTTACAAGATTATTTTGGTTTTGCACTTCTTTATGTGCCTCTGTGTTTTTTTTTAACATGTTGCATATTCACAATATACATATGTTTAAGACTGCTTACTTTTTTTTAATAAGACATATTTTTCCTTACATAAAAAAATCTGTATTTATTTTATACTTTGACACCATTAAAACAAATTAAAAGAAAAGTGTGATATTGCATGCTTTGAATGAATCTTTTTCAGCTTCTTTAGGCAGGAATTTATTATTCAGCTCTATAATTTCAAATAAATGTTGCAGTTATTAGGCGCACAACTTAAGCTTACTGATACTTTTTTGGAAGCATCAGGTTGAGTTTAGGGCAAGCATTGAGGATTGAATGAATTTAGGACAATTTATTGGTGATGCAAATTTTGTTCAAGGAGATTCAATGCATTACTTTTTTAAATGTCAAAATTCCTGTCCCTACCAATAAAGATCAGTAAAAATTTGTGTTGAGAAATGCAAACCGGAATGAAAAGTTCTATAAAAAGCTTGTTACTTATTTTCTCATAAGATGTTTGATAAGAGTTAAATCATGCAACAAGAATTGAGGTGGATGAAATTACAAGGAAGCTCTTCCCTGCAGAAATTTCCACATCTGGTAAACTTATTTAAGTCAGTGAAGGTTAATGTTAGGGTAACGTTACTTCCTTCCTTTTCCAGGTTGTGTTTTATTTTATTCTACCCCTTCCCCTGAGGGGGAAAAAATGGTATTTGGATTTTTTCATTAGGAATTTCGGAAGCTGCTGGGCTCAGTTAGGCGATATGGGAATTCCTCAAAGCAAGCGTCCTGTCTTTGACCACAACTATTTTACTCCGGCATCCAAAGAATCTGGATTCAAACCAGAAATCAATTCTTCTGTCATTTCTTGCTGGCCTCATACAACTAAGGAGGCTCCAGCTTTTGAGTAAACGGATTTTTATCACCGGTTCTTGCCAGAGTTAAAACAGCCCTACTTTACCTCTCCTAAATGTGTTGACCAACTTAGTATGTTTATTGTTTAGCAAAAAAGGGAGAAGGGATGTAAGTCTTTGGCTCTGTAAAAAGAGCAATAAAGCAGGATATAAAGAGGAAGAAAATAAGCTGTCTGTGGAATGTAAGTTGTAAACTCTGCTGAACGGAAGGCTGTAATGGCCAGTCTTGCTTTGGCAGTGGAATCTCCCAATTCCATGCAAAGCTCAAGGAAATGCAGGAGGTGGGGGGGGAGGGGGAGATAAGAGACAGAGGAAATAAACCCCAGTTTTCATTGCATTTGTTGGAATGGGGAAAGAAGCCATCAGACCCTCAATAAAGGGGGGGGGTCAGCCTTGCGCCCTGGTTGTGCTCCGTCCTTCAATATTGTCTTGTCTTCCAGCAGCAAAAAAAAAAAAAAATTTGCCCTGCTACCAGGAGCTGCTGCTATTGCTAGTTTTTATAAAGTGGGGAGGGAAAAAGAAGTCCTTCTTAACTGCCTCTCCTTCACCCCACAACACTAAAGCTGGGCTTTGAGGTGCAATCTCTAAATCGTGGTTTATGGATTACCTAATAAGAAAGAAAAGTTAATCTATTATGTTAGCCCCTGAAATTACTGAAGCTACTGTGTCTTCATGTTCACACACAACAAACACACAGCCTTTGTTTTCCCCTTACCCCCCCCCCCGCTTTGGTCTCCTTTCATGCTATTTGGATAGAGACCTAGGCTGAATTTTTGCCTCGGCCACCACTTTCCATTCCAGATGAACTTTACCAGGGCATCCCCCAATCAGGTGTCTCCACAAGCCTGGGATTACAGTGTATATTGTAGCTGACCATGATGGTAGGTGTAGTCAACACATCCAAAGGGCATGGGAGTGAGGAGAGCTGCACTGGAATATTACTAGAAAATTGGCAGATTTCAGAAGAGCCATGGGTGATAGAATTGCCCAAGAGGGAGCCCTTCCTATTCCTATAGACATCCATTTAGTTTTCTGCCTATTGATCTGTGGACAACCTTTCACACACCAGTTCTCTCATACTGAAATGACCACTTTCACTAACATTCCAGCTATAGAAGAATGTGGGAAACTGGCCCTTTTCAATATTCTCATTATCTCTACCTCAGTATTTGGAGGTCTAACAAAAGTCTAATCAATTTTCCTACATTAAATTACTGGGGGAGAGGGATCTCCCAATGGTTGATTCATGCCTTCCTCCACCTGTTAGTTCTCAAGAAATATAAGCTTGAAAAGGCAACATAAGAGACACCACCTTTTACAGACCTGTACTAGTTATTTCCCTTCAGATACAAGTGCATAGGATTGCAACTTAAATATATTTTCCTTTCACTTCAAGCTTGAAGTGTTCTTTCTGTGCTCCTTAGTAGTCTGCCTCTGTTGGTTTTAATACAATGTGCTTGTTCTACTGGGATCCTGTAACAGTAATTGGTATAATGGAGTTGATTTGTGGGAGTAAGAAAGGGAATCACCAATCCCACCAAGCATGGAAGAGAAATCTGGCTCTCAAGAGAAGCACAGAGCTATTACTGAATGTGATAATGGTGCTATAACGGGTTAAGGACAGTTGAGCTTAGAAAGCCCAGTGATGGAAGCTTCCTTTCTTCCCTCTGGATTTTGCAAGGTGCCTTAGAGTTTAACTTACATTGCTTTTCCTAACAGCAGAACAAAATCAGATAGACAGAGAAAAGTAGGCAGGTAAGACTGTTGGTACTTAATACAGACTACACACAATTGGGAAAAAGGATATTAGGTGTAATAAGCTCGACCTGTGCATCTGGCTTCACAAGTCTCTTACTCTTATGTGCATTTCTGTTCAAAAACATGCATATATTTTAATGTGGATAAGAAATGATCTGATTTCCAGAATCTGGTGGGTCTGAAGTGCATCTATAATTGCACATCCAGAGGAGAGGAAGGGCATAGGACATGGGGGAGGGGGTGTAGGATTCCTGTTCTAATGGAATGGACTTTTTGAAAACAAAACAAGCCCCACTGGGTTTGTCTCTCTTCCCCCCCCCCCTTTTAAAAACATTACTGTAAAATAGAACAGCTATACAATCACTAAGAATCAATCTCCAGTGCAGGATCTGAGAGAAACTTCTGAGTTTATGTGTTTGTAATCCCAAGGAAAGGTGAAGGGAAAGCTGACTTTATAATCTATCTCTTTTCTTTCCTTCCACCTCCCCTCTAATAGTACAGCGTGCTTTTCCCAAGACACCCTGTCATTGGCATACAGGAAGCCAAAAGCAGAAACAACAGAAGAAATAAATATTTAACCATTTGATTGTTTAAGGGTTACTTTTGTAGGGTAATCTCAGCGAGAGAAGGGGGAGGGGTGGGAGAGATTCCTTTGAAGGCAAACGTCATAAAAGGAGTTCAGCACCATCTTTTCCTCCCCCACCCTCAATATTACCTCTTCCCCCGGCTGATCCTGGTTTCTCCCCAAGGCTTTCCCGCCATCTCCACCACTCTCCCGAAGGATCTCACCTGTGCTTCTCATCCAAGGATATATTCGCAAGTTGCTTTCGTGCCGCAAGTCCGTCTCCCTCTGGTCGCTTTTGTTACAGTTGGGCTTGGACGCGTCTCCCGGACACATCATGGACAGGTTTTGCTCAAAGGGGGAACAGTGCATGTTGAAGGAGCTGGTGTCCAGACCGTAGCCGCTGGAATACATGCCGGGGGGCTGGGGGTGCATACCTCCCCCGCTAGGGTAGAGAGCAGGCATGGAAGCAGCGAAAGAGGCCGTGGAACTGGAGCCATAGCCGGTGCGCTGGGCATTGGAAGCGAATGCGCAAGAAGTTTGCTCGGGAAATACTCCGGAGGGGAAAACCGAATTTGCGGCCTGATATTTAGAAAATAAAGCATTCGCATAATACAATGAACTCATAATCTGGCCGGGTGATTTGTAGGCCGGGACGTTTTAGTGTCGGTTTTACGAGGTACCGTGATATATTACGGAATTAGACTCCAGATTTACACCAAAAAGGACCCCCTTTTTCCTCCCTTGGCCACGTGACTCTGATCCACGTGATCCGAATAGCACCAATCCATTCCGATCTTCCTCCCATCCCTCCAACTCTCCCTCCCCCCAACTGAAACTGTACTCCCCCCCCCTCCGTAATATGGAAAAGGGGGGAAACACTATGTATGGAACAGTGGCCGGAATTTATACAATACGTTGCATTATTGATGATAGGGTAGATACTGAATCTCCCAAGCTAGAAGCGGGAAGGAGCGAAAATCATGCGCGCGGAGTCAGTAAGCCTCCGTCTTTAATCAGTTCTCAAATGAAGCTAGTAGGAAAAAGATACAGGAGGGAGGCGGCGTGGCAAAGAAAATGAGAAAGATCTCCAGTGGGTAGTGGCGCCAAGCTAGGGCAAGGAGAAAAAAAGAAAGAAAAGAGAACTGCCGCGAAATCAAGAGTGAGAAGTGAGGTGAAGGAGAGAAATCGAGCCACTTGGTCCATCCAAGCAAGAAAGATAGCCGTAAGGTTAGCAGGAAATGTTTTATTTTCCCCTCATCGGTTTGATTTTATGTTTCTCTCTTTGAAGTTGCTCTTGACGGGATATATACATAAAGATATAATTTTCTCCTTTCTGCCCCTGTTCTCTCTCCTGCTAAGTACCCAGGAGAAAAACGCGGGATATTGAGAGTCAGAGAGCGAAGAGAGATGCCCGCCCTAACTCGCGTTCTCGGGGCGGGTTTTATAAGCCGACATTCCACTGGCATCTGCCGCCGCTCCCCATTCCCACCCCCCGCGACGATACAGTTTCTGACCCGCACCAACGTCGCCCATCCGAGCACTGGGAGACTTACTGTTTACTATTTCAGTTGCTACCTCCCCTACCCCTCCCCGCTCCAGTAGCTCCCCTTCTGAATGCCATTCAATTCTATATGTAATTTATTCCACTGCCACAGGCGTTGAGCCTCGGAGCTCGCTTTGCTTTTTCTGGTGGCGGAAGGGGGGAGCGAAGGGGGGAGAGGAAAGATTACAACAGATCTCTATTTAAGCGTGTCAGCTCTTCTGCTGGACTCAATTATAGAGAGAAGGAAAATGTGACCAGCTGGTTATTCTGCTTTTTTGCTGGGAAAGCAAGGAAAGCTTCCAGAAAAGAAAAAAAAAGGGAGGGGGGGAAGCGACCGAGGGAAGAGATATTAAAAGGTGCACATTTCACTGAAACTTATCAAAGCCCTCTGTGACAAATAAGAATAAAGCTGGCCTTGCAGCTGAGAGATTGGCAGAGGTCCTCTTTTCAAGGTTAAGTTGCCAAAAAACAAGTGGGGAAATATATGGAGGGGCATGCAAATATCACGAAGCTCCTCATAGGAGGGGTGGGGACTACCAAAACTGACAAGCTTCCAGAGCCTGGGGGGTGGGTGGGTGGAGAGTTTAAGTCTTCTGTTAGGGGCAGTAAGCTGGAATTCAGCAGTGATAAAATAGAGGCACATGCAGACCTCATTAGCATAACTTTTCTGAAACTAAAAATATTTAGCCAATCTCCTAACCTGAAGCCAAGATAAGCTGAGACACCTTTCAAAAGAAAAGAAATCTCATCTTCTCTCTCTGCCTTCCTTCCCTCTTCCCAAACTTCCACCAACATTTCAGGTGCATTTTTCCCTGAAAGCCATAAGTTTCTTTTGTGTCTCTTAGAAGGCTTTCTTGGATGGCAGTAGCTGTTTTGGATATGTGTTTATTTTCCCAACCCTTTTCTTCTAGATGTTCAGGAGGAAGTGTTAAGCAGAATGAAGAAAGAACAATGTCATGGGGAAATTGTGGCTTGCAAACTTTATTTTAACTCCTTTCTTCTGCTGCTTCCAGCTTCAACAATAGAACAAGGTGAAGAGAGAACAACAAAATATAGCATTAGTTTCCCCACCCCCAATAAAGTAATTCACGTATACAGTATACATTCTCTTTTTTTCACAGTAAACCTAGAGGGGAGGGGACAAAAAAAAACAAGGGAAAAACACTTTTTACAACTTCTTCCACTGTGTGCATGCCAACTAAATGGGAAAGGCAAGAGAGAAAACGAGAAACACAGCTTTTATTTTTCTTTTGTTTTCCTTTTTCTTTCTTTTTTAAAAAGTTAAAAACACTTAAAAAGACAAACAGATAAATAAAACAAAATGGGAACCCAAAAGGAAAGAGGGTCTGTGACAATCAAAACTCAAGACAACTACAGCATAAATAGGCAGTTTCATGTTGTTGGGTATATTTTCAGAGCTACCTGCAGAAAGGGAGTTTAACCACAACACTAGAGAAGAGAGAGACAAGAAATGAGAGAGAGGGGGGGTGTATTTCAGAGGAGGGATGAGAAAAAGAAAAAAAATAGGAGTAAGGAAGAAAGTCTTCAAAAGTGCAATGCTGTATATATTTTGTACATCATTTCCATAGCACTGGTGTCAAAATAAGAAAAGAGGAAGAGAAGGAGGGGAGGTGAATTAAAAAGAGACAGAGAGTGAATTTTTTCACAGCCATGATTAACAGAAGCTATTGCATTACACTATTACTAATTCTTAACTGGCCAGAAGATGAAAAATAACAAACAACAAGGCTAAAAAGATCCCATGATGTCTCGGTTTTTTTTAAATATATAGTTCATTGTATGTATCAAAGGACATCCAGGAGAAGACGCTCACAGCTATATTGTTTTACAGCAATAAAAGGCGAGATTCCCCTCCCCAAGCAGTATTTATCCTCCCCCCCGTCAGAACCACCGTTCACATTAACTGGAATTAATGGAAGAATGGGGGGGGCGGCTTTCTGAGGCTTGCCTGTCCAGTCTTCCAGCGCCTACTTTTTGTCCCCTGTCTGTGCTTCTCCGCCCTCTTCCACCTCCTGAGCCCTTTCCATTTTCTGTTTCTCCAATTCTTCTTGCTCACATTTGCTGCTGGGGAACTTATCTTTGTTGTTCTCCTTTTTCCACTTCATCCTCCTGTTTTGAAACCAGATTTTCACTTGCCTTTCGGTCAGTCCCAGGGCGTGAGAGACTTCAATTCTCCGCTTGCGGGTCAGGTAAGGATTAAAAAGGAACTCTTTTTCTAGCTCCAGGGTCTGGTAACGACTGTAGGTTTGCCGGCCTCTCCTCCGTCCAGCGGCTGCTGGGGTGCGGGGAAAGAGAAAAGGAGATTGAGAAGACACAGCCACCAGGTTAAGGGACAGAGGGAGAGAGAGCGAAAGACGCGCGCGCACACACACGCACACACACACACACACACACACACTCAGAGAGAGAAACACACACACACACACACTCGGGGGGGGAGAGAGAGAGAGAGAGAGAAACACACACAGTCACACAAAGGCAGCGGCGGAACTGCCCTTCTTGTACGGTACAAAGGGGAGGTTAATTACACAGCCATGGATGGAGAGAGGCACTGACGAAGAGATCCACAGATGCGCTCTCCTCTGTTCGCCCGAGCTTCAACCTCACCCGGGGTGCTTGGGTAGCTCACCTCGCTCCCTCCTTTCCTCCCATCCCTGTCATTTTCTTGGGAAAATTATTCCCTTCCTGACATCCCAGGTTTCTGGCAACAAACGCCCTCCCCGGCCCTTAAAACAACCGCCGCCGCCGCCGCCTGCCCCCCTCGCATCTCCAGAGATTTAAAAGATAATAACCAAAGCGGCGAGAGGAGGGAGGGAGGAGGCGGAGGACGCCAAGGAGAGACACAAAAAGGGGGTCTCGGAGGTTGTAAAAGTACCATAAACTTTAGGGGAAGCTTCTCCGATTGAAAGAAGGAGGGGAGAGAAGTCCAGTTCTCCCCATTCAGGAGAAAAGGTTCCTTTCAGGGTAATTAAGCGATAAAGCAATTCAGAGGTGCAAAAGTTTACGCTCATAAAACAGTACAAAGTAACCAAGGGTTGAGGTGGGGGAAGGAGGGAGGGGATGAAAGATAGTGGAAGAGGTGGGAAAAAAGGAAGGCGAAATTGCTTTATGGGATCAGGAAATGCCTTCTCGATGGCTGGCCGCCTGGCCCTTCCTGAGATGCCTCCTCACCTTGCGGTCTCATCCAGGGAAAGAGTTGTGTGGGAGACGGGCTCTGCTCCGAATTGTCCGCGTCCTCTGCCAGGCCGGTGGAGGCTAGCTTGCAATCTGGATATTGCACCAGGTCGGATTCCTGAGCGCTGAAGAGGCTTTGTCTTTGCAACGGGTCATAGCCGTAGAAGTTGCTGGGATCCCCGTGGCACGCTACGGCGCAGGGATTCTGTTGGTAAGGGGAGGTGGAGAGAGAGGACGCTCCGTGGTAGAACTCCTGGATCTGGGTGGGGTGCTGGAAAGTGCCCCCCGTGCTCGGGCCGTACACCACCGTCGGTCTCCCTCCGAGTTCTTGGGCGAACCCACAATCGTAGAAGTTGGGGCGCAGGGAGTCCCCAGTTTTGTACTTGGAGAAGAGGGAGTTGACAAAATAGGAGCTCATTGTCATATAAATAGCTTATTTTAAATAGGTCTAGATCTAGGTACCAGGGTTAGGGGAGATGAAAAGCCACAGGATGTTAAAAGATTACGAAGAGGCGCCAACCAACGAGTCTTTGTGATTTCCAGGAATATATACAGATATGCATAGATTTAAAAAAAAAAAAATCCTGAGGATGGAGTCAAAACTCTTTCCCAATGAACATGCTATCAGATTCCGCTTTTTTAAACTGCTGCTGTTGTTGTTTGTGACTGTTGTTATTATTATTCCTCTCTGTATGTGTGTCTCTTTCTCTCTCTTCTCCTTTTTCTTCTTTTTTCCACCTTCTTCTTTAACCCCCCCCTTAAAATATATATGTATATATCGGCACTTAAAAAAGTTCTCGCTTTACATTTCCAAGGCGAAGTGCCAGTTCATAAACAGTTTTCCGTGATTTACTTCGGAGCAAATGAGTTTGTTCATATTTCGCAGTGTCTTTTCTGGATCATTTGCATCTATTACGGAACCCTCATCCTATTGGTTTCCACATACTCCACACGGACTCTGAACAGCCTGCGAGCAGGAAGGAGAGTGAGTGGGAGACAGAGAAGGAAAGAGAGAGAGAGAGAGAGAGAGCAAGAGAGAGA